TGCAAGGCAAACTATGGAAAGAACCTTTCAAAAAGTCTAAAAGTAGGTCTCACAACTTGCTGTAATTAATCCATTCCGATGTATGCAGACCAATGAGTACATCTCTTTTTGGAGGTACCAGGTATTTACTTACTTTTACAGACGACTTTAGTCGCAAGACTGTTGGATATTTTTAAGGAAAAAGAGTGATTTTTTTTCGAAATTTATTGAATTTAAACTTCTTGTAGAAAATCAAACCGATAGAAAAATAAAATGTTTACGTTCAGACAACGGTACCGAGTATGTAAACAGACCAAAGTCAACTTTTTTGTGGGAAAATGGCATTTTACACAAATTGTCTGTGCTAAACAATCCACAAGAAAATGGTGTAGTGGAACGCGTAAATCGGACTATTGTTGAAAAAGCGCTTGCTATGCTTCACGACGCAAAGCTTTCAAAAGCTTACTGGGCGGAAGCAGTTAATACTGGGATTTATTTAAAAAATCTATCTCCCACTCAATCTCTCAAACCTATCCCTAACCGGATTCCGGAAGAAATTAAGACAGGAACAAATAAGGTAATAGAGTTAATCTCTCTCACTTTCGAGTCTTTTGTTGTCAAGCTCATGCCCTTATACCAAAGGGAAAAAGAGTACAAAATTCGAATCTAAAACGCGAACCTGCATTTTCGTAGACTATTTAACTAAGTCGAAAGCGTACCGACTCGTAGACCCGAAAACCCACTAGAAATTTTTGTTTCTTGGGATGTAGCTTTCGTTGAAGATGATTACAAAACAAGGGAAACAAAACAAAATTCTGTCCCACCCAAACCTAAAACAATTCAATTTCAAAAATTCGAGAATTTCAGAATGCTCAGTCTCAGATTTCAGAACCGTTTTCAGACGAAAACATTGTCACAGAAGAAAGTCTCCCAAGTGCTCCCAGTGCAGAAATATCTAATTCACCATTTGAATCTTCAGATATTTTCTCGGATGCACAAGCAGAAACTTAAGGAGAAACAGTTCAAAGACAACCCCGACTGAATACCTTCCCCCAGAACCGCGTTACCCAACAAGAGAGAAACAACCTCCAGTTCGTTATACAGAAAATGTCAATCACAGTACAACTGATGGTGAACCTGAGTCATACAAACAAGCCATAGAAGACACTAAAGAAGAATTGCTAGCTGCTGAATGAACTCAGAGTATAACTCTTTGGTGAAACACAGTACGTGGATACTCGTCAAGAGACCGGCGGACAGGAAAACTATAAAATGTCAATGGGTTTTCCAAGTAAAACAAAACACTAGCGGGGAAATTGTTAAATATATAAGGCTAGACTTGTAGCCAAAGGTTTACTCAAGTCTATGGCGTGGACTATGGAAAGACTTTTTCTCCCTTAGCCAGACTATCATCAGTTAGGCTGTTAATGGCGTTCAGTATTAACCTCAATGTTCAGTTAGAGCATCTTGACGGCGAAACAGTATTTCTAAATGGAGATAGATCTAAGCTCCATCTAGATTTCTTCTTCTAAGAGAAGAAATCTTCATGGAACAACGCGAAAGTTTCAAAATCAATCGAAAAGGCAAAGTATATCTGCTTATACACTCATTATATGGCTTGAAACAATCACCGAGACAGTGGAACTTAAAGTCAAACAAGCTATGTCTACTCTTCTTATTGAAACAAGCCGAAAACGAATACTGTTTATATTACAAGCGTGATTCGATGCGATTTTTTCCTTTTATGTAATGACGAAATCATGAAGTCCGAGTTTGTAACAAACTGAAAAGCATTTTTATCGTAAAAGATTTTGGTCTTTTTAAAGACTGCATAGAGATGCGAGTAACTCAAACAAGTGGCAGTATTAAGGTTTACCAAACAAAATATATTGAAAGTGTCATTGAAAATTTTGGAATGACAAATGCAATCCCTGTCACAACACCCTTAGAGCCTGGTATAAAACTCACTCTACCTGAAAAGGATGATGAGAAACCGGAACTCCCGTACTAGCAGCTAATTGGTTCTTTTTAATGTACATTTCTCTAGGCACTCGGCCAGATATTTCACTCGCAGTGTCATATCTGAGCCAGTTCAACGTACATTAAAAGGGAGGTGCATTGTAAAGCTGCTAAAAGAGTTCTCAGATATCTCAAAGCCACCAAAAATTACGGACTAAACTTCCAAAAGGGTGACAACTATCGAATAGGTTACGTGAATGCCGATTATGGCAACAGTCCCATTGATAGGCTAGGATACTCTGACTATATATTTAAAATGAGTGTCATGGGAGGCACGGAAACAACGTACTCCAGCGCTTTCTACAACAGAAGCAGAGTATATGGCATTAGGAGATGCTTGCAAAGAGGCCTTAGGACGCTGATCAACGATGTCTTTGATGTCATTCATCCCATAACAATATGCTCCGATAATCAAAGTTCATTAAGACTAACACGCAGCAACACATATAATTCTGGAACCAAGCATATTGATATAAGACATCATTTCATTAGAGAACTATCACAACATGACTTTCAGCTTCAGTACATACCGACTACTGACATGATCGCAGACGTCCTCACAAGCCATTAGCAAAAATCAAACATTGTAGATGCACTTCATTATTAGGCTTAAGGTAGGATAGTCGGTGGGTTGAGATAGTTGTATTCAGATGTTTTATTCAGTGTGTTTGTTTATCTTGTGTTATTTTGTGTTTAGTTTTAAGGCTTTAGTATACAGCATTTAATATACCAAACTACAAGGTGTAGTATTACGGGGAGGTGTAGAAAATCTGTTTGATACAATAGAACACCCTTGACGTTCTATAAACTTATTTACATATAGTATTTTTTTTTTACATCAGTCACTCATAATAAATATGTCAGTATCTCCACTGTATCTTTTTCTGCTATAAATAATTACTTTTAGAAGTAGCAGACACCGAACACGGGAAGTGAAGCAAAAATTAGGCACTATTCTGTGAATCATACTTAGCCGTATATCCGTTCGAATGTGTTGCCGAATATTTCGCAAAAGTGACTTTAGCAACGATGTTCATAATGACTAAAACGAGTTAAGTGCGAGTTGTTCTTGTACCGACATTTCCGTACAACTTATAGGTATGTAAATTGATAGTTTATCACGGCAATCGAGTGTAACGCTTATGGGGATTTATTATTCTATAAAAATGACAGTTTATACAGTACTTTTGAAAGATAAAAAAATATACATATTGAGAAGCTTTATCAGTTGGCGTCTTTTACAAATAACACAAATATATGTCAGAAATAAAGTCTTATTTTATAATCTGTCATTGATTATAAAATAAACATCGCGGACTGAAAGAAGATTTGTGACAAAGAGACATGACTAACTATGACTTTGGTTTGGGCACATGTAGATCAACGAAGAAATATATAAGAAGTTTATTGTGCAAATGACATACGACCTTCCGGGCTGCATCTCGACGCGTTCTCGGATTCTGATAGGCCCATTCCACTAGTACTGTCTCTACACATTATGTCTAATCACCATCCAAATCATTCTAATTTAGTTAACAAACGAGTAATAAAAAAATGGGCAGAGCAGCAATTAGGATAAAACTTACGCCGATCAAACAAGTAAGAGTCTACAATTAGGATACCCATGTATTTTCTACAGCGGCGGGCAATGCATCAGGCATTTTCTCTAGGTGAAATAAAAAATCTAGTAGGAATCTCCTTTTACGACGAGTCATTCTTATGCCTAGTATTTATTTCAATAGGAAAAGCATAACTTTAGGTGGCATTTTTAAGCATATTTTCAACATGGATAAAGTGTGAGAATTTTGCATTTGTTATTGAGATTACGATCTAAAAATAATATTTATTACAAAAGTGAAAAAATGTGTTTGTATTATGACGTCTGGATTAAATTTGTGTCATTTTCTTCTACTTACAATTAAAATAAAACATGAACAGCACACTTAATATTTTTTTCGTGTTATCCAATTGTCTTACCATATCGCAAGCTTAGAAACCCAGCAATATTAAATAAAAATTAGCAAACAAGTTAGATTTACAGACGATAACATATATTTTTATTTCAATGATCCTTCAAATTTGTTGATGTACAGAATAACAGAGAATAACAATATTATTAAACTTGTGTTACTGCGACGTTTTATTATCATTCATCGTTTAAACAATCCTCTACAATTTACTTATATTCGTCTTAAAGATTAATTATAGACAATACTTGAAGTGAACAACAAAATCCATGATACTTACACTTAATTATTTTAAAGGAAATATTAATGCACCAATACCTACACCATTAACGGCGTCGTACATAAAGTGTAAGCAAATTTATACCTAATGCAATATAATGTGAATAAAAATACCCATAGCACAGGTAAGATGCGATGATATTTATACGAGGCTGATAAAAGCGACAAGTTAAAACTCAAAGAGGTATTTAATCGTATGAACCCTTAGCGGGATGACACAAATTTAGTTATCCCTTTAAGAAATGTTATAGCACGTTCATTTACTTTACGAGAGAGTTGACAATAAAGTTCGCTTAATACAATAATTTATTCAACTCGTAAGAAGGGCGCCAAATAACGATGTTTATAATAAACTTTATCACTTTTTAAATAATAACAAGAAACTATTATGCCCAATATCTCGCATCTAACGTCGAACCATTATCACGTACAACAGCATCAACGCACTTTAAATTATCACGTGAACGTTTATTTTTAAGTTACTATTTTGATAAAAAATATCCGTATCATTCATTTTGGTTAAACAAATAAGTAGAAAAATATGCACAGCAGTTCTTAACTTAATTGTGATTCAAAAACTTGCAAAGTAACAAACGCATCATGAGAATAATTAATATTTAGGGATTTTTTTTACGGAGCCGACGTAAAGTTTAATATTAGCACGGGGGTCCCTACTTTTTGAGATGTTATTAATTTCGCATGAAGCATTATAGTGTGTGTTGTGTGAAAAAATAATTAATTAAAACATCGGCATACCTCATTGAACTCGGGGTAGTGTCGTGTCGTCTTCAAGCGGGCGGCATGCGGCGCGGCACGGCGCGGGCGTTGGCAGCGACGGTCGGTCGGGGAGTCAGCGGCGGGACGGCTGACGGCTGCGGCTGTGCTTGGCGCTGCTAATTACGTCGTTGAGGGTACAACACGCGATAGCGCTGCTCTTTCGCGCTCACCTGTTACTTTGCGTTGTTGCGTCGCGATTATGTTGTGGCAGCGGTGTGTACCGCCGTGCGACTGAGTCACGCGCCCACTCAGCATTCATTTTTATATGCTTCCCCTACTCGGAAGGTTCGTTTTCCCGTGTAAGAGATCCAGGAAGGTAGGTACTACCGTTCGGTTGACCCGCGCCGGTTGTCGCCGTCCGCTGATACATTATTATCTCAACCTATGGTTGGGTCAAGAACGTCTAGGTACCACCTAAGTAGGTTAGGCACACCATAATCCGTCCATACACTAACATCGCAATTAGAATAATCCTAAGAGAGTAACAATCAAGTAATATTATGAAACAATCTTAATATTATCTTATTTCATCTAAGTTCGTAATAAAAACATCATTAACACAAATGAAATTAATTGTAAGTATATCAGTCAGAACTACATAGTTTTAGTTTTAATCTTTGACAAATTAATAATATCTCTAGAAACACAAATTAAATTGACAAGATTATTGAACTATTAATCTAATTTTTCAGTTGATATCTGTCTTAACTTCGGAAATAATTCCAGTCTACTACTGCCTAAACTGCATTAATTAATATAGATGATTCACCAAGTCTTTAGCCAGAGTTGTATTTATGATGGGCAGCGGCAATTACAGGTAGGGCATAAGCGGGATTTGAGCCCTCCCCCCTAGATTTAGTTCATATTAAGTCGATGTTTGCCCTAGACATTGCCCCATAATGCCGCCCCCCTCCTCGCTACAGCCCTGTGATTCACGTATATACAATATATCAAAACTATTTTTCGATTGCATGTATTCAACTATATTTTTATAAAACACTTCAGACATAAGTGAGCGCTGAGAGCTACTCACTCATGATCACATCTATGAAATATGCCAAACAACAGATTATATTCTAAGTAAGTTTTATCATCTCATTGATAATAAAAGCGAACGATGCTCAAAGACGAATAATTACGCCGCCGAGCTGTTAAAATAATCCTACTAATATTATAAATGCGAAAGTTTCATAAGTCTAGATGGAAACTTAAAATATCTAATGTTATGATGATTCTTCATCACGTAAAACGGCTGAACGACCTAAGATAAAACTAATAACATAGTTAAATATTTTATGGCCTACCTGTTACTTAGCTTTATATACAAAACGCAGCAAATAAATCAAGAAAACCATTGTTATTAAGTGCTACCGGAGTCCTGCGGTGAAGACTGCGAAACGGCGAAAAGGGTGCCGCTCTAGCACTCACTTTGCAGACTTAAACTCAATCCCCTACTCCGTGGAGACCTTGTTACCCTACTCGTCAATAGAAACATGACACCAACAAAACGTAGTGTTATTTTATTGCTGTGTTTAGTAAGGTAAATAAGGGGGTTACTTCCACAGGCAGAACTTCTAATACGAGCGGAAAATCCGTTATGCAATTACTTTATCAAAGGACAGGGTACTTTTAAGACTTAGAATTCTTAGGACGTGTACGTATCGACATTGCGTTTAATCTGTCCTAATAATAAAAGAATACGTATCTAATCTTAATATATTTAAATCTCGTGTCACAATGTTTGTCCTCAATGGACTCCTAAACCACTGAACCGATTATAATAAAATTCGCACACCATGTGCAGTTCGATCCAACTTGAGAGATAGGATAGTTTAAATCTCAAATTATAGTCGCAATTTTAATTTATTGCAAATTATTACTTTTGGGCGGTACGAAGTTCGCCGAGTCAGCTAGTATAATATAATTTTCGCTAAAACCATAATTGTACTTTTCGAATTTTATTATTAGATCGACCCAAATTGTTTCGTTCATCTTAAGCATGCGCGTTTTTCAGAGATAGAAAGTTCATATGCTACGCGGGCGGGCCGGGTTTATTTCCCAGCCGAAAAAGAACTTTTTATAAAAATGATTTTAAAAGTTTGGTATGAGGAGCTGGCGAAAAAAATTACATTAAATAATTACATAAAATAAAATTTTACACGAACAGTAAAAAACAGAATGACACACCTAAAGTGAACTTTTGGAATGTTTTTTAACTTATTAATTGAGTAATTTTAACACTGATTTAGGTGGTTTTGATTGAAAATGAGTTGAGATTCAAATCCAGCAGGCCCAAAACATCTGGACTGTAAAAAAAAGAATTTTGACTAGATGCATAATTATATCGTCGCTCCATATCATAGCGGTTAGCGCGTGTTCGCCTGTACCTATATTGTAAGGCGCTCTGGTTCGAATCCAAATTCTGACCTGACAAGATTTTCTGCACGATACGAAATGTTGTAGCATTGTTTAAAAACCGTAACAAATAGCACTGTACTATATATTTGTGTGTCTGAAGTGAACAAGATTGCCCAATCTCCACGTGGTAGGTGTATAGGGTTTCATAGCGGCTGCAGCATATGTACGTATATGTATGTATATGTACGTATTTCTGATACACTATTAATCATAGTGATTGGATGCCGTTCTTATTCAATTATGAAGTAACAGGCAGGCTCAAAACTTTTAAATTAAAAAAAAAATCGGTAATTGTTTTTTGTATGCTATACCTGGTGTTGTGGGAGTGGTGAAGTGGAGCCTGATTTAGCGTCATGCTCGTGAACATGCAGTCAACAACAATATATGCCATACAAACTTTTATCTCCTACTCCAATTTCAAGTTTTATTATTAGCACGATAAAATGTGGTTTTAATCTTCTTTAATGTTACATTTCACATGAACATCTGATAGACAGAATCACTTTTCCATTTATAATACCTACCGATATATAATACCTGGTAAGGTAAGGACATGGGATAGTTTTAATCCCCGAATTGAAAGTTAGTGGATTGGAACCTATTTCTACTTTGTAAATATTTTATTAAAAGAAACAGATATTCAGATACATATTATGATTACACCAAATGCAGTATGGTCGCTTCTCAGCTACTGTGGTCTTAACGATTACAATCTGTTATTTAAGTATGGATCTTATCTTAACTCAAGTTACACAACTTTTTTGTAGTGCTTATAAAGTGACAGTTGACGGTTTAAGTGAAAATAAACTCTAATAATAAATCACCTTTTTCCGGAAATCAAGTCAAGCCCAAGCTTTTGAACTATTTTGCCATAATAATAAGACGCAATGTACGTATTGCATTAGAGTGAGATTACTCGTATGTACATATCAATGTATCGTATTCGTAGTATTTATTTATTTATTTATTTTTAAACTTTATTGACCAAAATACAATGGTACAAAAGGCGGACTTAATGCTAATAGCATTCTCTCCCAGTCAACCTTTGGGAAAAAAGAAAATACGCGAACGGTGGTATAAAGCTAAATATACTCATAAATATTGAAATAATAAATAATATTAAAATATATACGAATTAACATAGATACATATATAATACATATTACTTACGAAAGGAATACACAAACATACATACATACCACAATTATATTTAAATCTATGTATATATATATATATATACTCATAACTATACACATGATGATGATTAATAAAGTGACAGTATTCCTATCAGTTAAAATGTTAAAATAAAACAAACTGTATTTTTACCAGAGAAAAGAAAGTAAAAATGAGATAAACATATTTGATTGATATGCTCACATTATAACAGTGTTTCCTTACCTTTCCAATACTGCTACCCCTATAACCTATTAGGAAAACAGATTTTACCCCGACTTTAAAATGTTATCATCAGTCCAATAAATTCCAATTTAGCCGCTAATCTACGTCTCTAATAATGTCATCATCAGGGAAAAAATCTCACTTTTTCCCATACTCAGCACCCCGCGGGCTCGCTAGCAAGAAGCAGCGCATGCTCTATTTAGTAGTATTATTATATAGTATTTTCTTATTATTTAGATTTGACCAAATAATTAGGTTCTTTGTTACCCCCGAAGTATGGCTGATTTACCCCTGGAGGGGTAATTACCCCCAGGTTCGGAACCCAGGCATTAGAAGGTATGTAAACACAGATTTATTAAAATATATTAAACCTACCAGGACAGTATAGACCAATAAATCATGATGTAGATAGAATAGTTACATCCAATCGAAGATACAATTTTGCACATATTGTATGTGCGTATGTTATGTACTTGATGCAAAAAACCAAAGTTCCTTTGTGCTTCGGAATGCACGTTAAGCCGTTGGTCCCGGCTGCGTCTTAAGTCGTTATCACACACCAAACCGCACTGGGCTCGCGTGATGGGTCACGGTCACGGCCCAATCACCATATTACATTCATAGTCCGAGAGCTGGCAAGAATTTTTGGGTAGGTATTTGAGGCAAGCTGAAAACTTGTCCTGTACCTCTCCTATTATATCCCAACACGAAACTGCAGACCTGGCTGGTGAGTAGCGGGGTTAAATCAACCCCAAAATTTTTAAAATATTTTTTTTTTTATCCAAAACTATACTTGAGGCAATTTGCAATTTTTATATGTTGTAGTTTAATATTTACAGAATATAAAAAAAAATAAGCCTGACGATTCAGCCGGGGTTTTAACATTGCCAGACGCGTCCAAATCCGCAAAAAAATATAAAAAATGTATTTGAGGCAACTTGAAATTTTAATAGACTTTCTACCTGCCAGGTAATCTTATAAAGTAATGATTACAAAAATATAAAATTACAAAATCAGATTTATTGAAATAGAAAAATTATATACTATTAATATAATACAGCTGCAGAATTATTATGAGTATACAAATACCAATGTAATTAATTCCCTGTCATATCAGAAAGAAATTGTCATTCTTCTTCTGTAGATGCTCCTTCATCAGAGCTATCAGAATCAACTTCAGATTCATCTGTGTCTAATTCGGATACCTCTGCATTTATAAAATAAATCATAGAAATTAAAATGCAGCAGTTAAAAAAAAATATGTATACGCACCTGCAGTATCATTTCCAATATTATTTTGTTTATTGTTTTCATGAAAAATAGCGTCGAATACTGATTGCGGCATACAATTTCCGTCGAACCAGTGGAAATGTAGCGTATCCTCATGAAGTGTCCATCCGTTTCTATTCGGT